AGTCATGTGATCCAGGACGCCTCTTCCCAAAATACACCATACATTGGAGAAGCAGGAGGAAGGCAGCAAGCTGTCAACAACTCTGTCAGCTCTTTCAGGGTCCGGGAAGGAAGCAGAGCTTTCCACCCGCCACTAAAGGGATGTTTCCGAAACACTTGCATCGTCTCAGTGTTTATGGACAAAAAAGGGAAGCGCAGAGGAAACTGAAACACAAAATAAACCAGCAGCTCTGCCAAAAACTGCGGCCATGTCAGCACACAACATGCAAAAGCTGAAAACTGAGGGGTAAAGATTGAGAAAATGCTTTATTTAAATCCTGCTCTTATTCAAGCTGATGTCTCTAGGCAACAAGCATTAGTTTGCTATACAAAAAAGGTATACGGATAATCAAACGGAGCTTACATTCCATTTATCTATGTTTTATCAAAAAATATATATCAAGCCAAGTTAGCAACATGTTTTAACTTTGATCTGAATTGAGCAACAGTTTCCTTTAGTTAAACAAGCCTGGGGTTTTTATTTCTTCATTTTGTGCCATTTGGTACCTATAAAAAAAATGTAACATTTTTCAAACTCAGTCTCTGCCCTAAAGGAGGAGAATTCTCCAGAGAAAGACTTTTAAGTGCATATCCAGTCTAACTAATGCTTGCATGAGTTTGTCGGAGGAGTTTTCTTATAACTTTGAAATGAAGGATAAACTTGATCAAATTCACTGCATAAAAGTTCATTTTAATTTAACATATATTCCTTTTCAATAGATGCTCTGACATGAATTTGGCATTAGTCAAACATGAATGACCCATTTTCATAATTCTGCTTCTTCCTATCCCCATTCTACCATTATGCCGTATTTGTTATTTCAGCCTCTAACTTTATGTCCCTGCTTTATGTCACCTGGTTCTGTTTGGCTGTGACTCTATCCTGGAGAGAAGTATCTGCTGGCTGCTGCCATCAGCAGCTCTAAATATAGATAATTTGTTTTGGCCTGTTTTTTAGCATTTAGTCCTGTTTCACTCCTAGACATAGGTATGGGCTTAGCTTTAATATTATGTGCTCTGTCATTCATTTCTTTCAAAAATGTCTCAGAGTACATCTGTTTAACTCTTTCTTTCCTAGACAGAGCTACCGAGAGCTTGTTTACCCTTACTGCTTCTAATATAGAACATATGTATCAATGAGTGCTTCTATATTCCTTCCGTATGTCTGTTTCTGTCTCCTTGAACCTCAGTCGCTTTCTGCAAAAAGCTGCTGATATTGAACCTGGTTCTACTTGGGGTAGAAAAGGAGTTTTTCCTCTCCACTGTAGTTGTGTGCATGCTGTGAGGGTTTGCTGCAGTGCCAACAACACAATGCAAGCAAATAGCTGCCATATGCTCATCAGGGAGTCTCTGTGCAAAGTCAATCTCTGAATGCAATCAGCTTGTTTTCCTTAGATAGAAAACATTTTTAATAATCTGGTTTTATGACATGATTGATTTTTTTTTTACTGTAAACACAAAGGGGCTGCTCAGTGGAACAGTGGGTAGCACTGCTGCCTTGCAGCAACAAGGTAGCAGTCCGAAAACATGACTGTTAGGTTGATTGTGTGCGTAAATGGTTTGCCCTGCGATGAATTGGAGACCTGTCCAGGGTGTACCCTGCCTTTCGCCCGTAGACAGCTGGAGATAGGCACCAGCAATCCTTGTGACCCCAATTGGGATAAGCGTGTAAGAAAATGGATGGATGGATGTAAACATTGTGTCAATGTCCCTTTGTGTTAAATAGCCTCTTTCTCGTAAAAGGGAAAGTAGCAATGGAACTAAAATTCTATTCCCAATTGAAGCACAGAGCTGCCATTGTCCAGGCTACCGTCACCGTACGGTATTGAAAAGAAATTCCCCCTGAACAATTTTTTAAGTCTGAAAAGTAGGACATCTCTGGGAAAAAGAGGACGTCTGGTCACCCTACATCAACAATTTGATGTTTCAGTGAGTGAGTGCTTGTTGCCATGATGCATCTTTGCTCAGCAGCTTCTCTCGTTTTAAACCAACCCATCAGTGCACAGCTCATCTAAATATTCATGATCATACCAACACATCAGGCTTTAAATATGTTTAGATATCACAAAAATCTATTATATCCTCCTCTTAGTTCACCATGCAACCGGGAAGCCACAAATACGATCTTAATCATTATCATGTTCAAACAGGCTGATGTAAATGTTTTCTATGACCAGTTCAGAGTAGGCCTAACATCTTGAGAACTACGCTGACTATTAAATATACATCATTACTCTGATATATTACTGTGAAGAGTCTATATTCAGTGCATAAAAACAGAGATAGACCCTTTTCTACCTTATGTCACATCACAATCAGCTATGTATCAAATAGCTTACAAAACTGAGAAGAGGAAGGAGAATTATAGGTGATTTTTAATATGTTTTGAAAAGAGAATCTAAAAAAAAGCATGATGTGGATTTGTAGTCAGACTTCCAGTGATAATACTGTAGGACACAACTATCAGTTCAACTGTAGCAATAGGTCTTAAAATGTATGTCTCGATAGGAATTTTATAGTCATTTCTATTTGCAAGTTGCTAAAACTGTCAGATTAAACTGAGTAAATCTGTAAAAGGTATTTCACGCCTAGATTATTAGTCTGGACTCTGCAGCTCCTCCAGAGTTCCTCTCGACTTCTTTTTTTTTTTCCACTGTACAATTATCATCCGCTGGTGTTTGTCTATCACATAAAGTAAAAAAAATACATGGATCTGTTGATGCTGAAAGAAGTCTTGTTTTGAAATAACTTCCACAGCTGGCCTGGTGCTCAAATTTAATAAATGCCAAAAACATCCAAAAAAACAGCTGTAGGAAAAGTCAGAACTATTCAGGCAGTGATATTCTCCAGCTAGATGCCAACTTCTTCTTAGCTCAACTCACTAGTGGATCCAGGATTAAGAAATACTGAAGGATTTTGTCTTAATTGCAAAATAGGAAAAATACCTGTACATGATTCTTAAGAAAAGTATTTAGTTAGTTAGTAGTTTAGCAAACGACTAGAAACCTTTTAAAGGGTGGACGGGTAGGGTAATTTGCTAATGATACTAGCAGATTAATGCGAAATGTCATATTTTGTGTCATAGATTGAGCTTTGATTTAAATTTGTAAGATAATCTGTAATGGTAGCATAGAATCCTTTCCTATTTAAAAGACCTTAAACTCATCTATAAAGAATGGAGGATCAGAAATGTCACTGAAAAAGAAAGAAAGCCAATCCAAATTAAATATTATAATAATACTTTAAAATCTATTTGTACATTTTAAATTTAAATATTAGAGAGACAGTGTACATGTTATTTATAAATCCATTACTGCGATTTCAAAATCTGTTTTGAATTACATGTTTGAAAAGGAAATGTCCTATTTCCATAAATAAGGTAATTTCATATTTGGTTTAACTTCCACACTGCTCACAGAATGACCAATGAGAGAGCTGGTAACATCTGAGGAGCTACTCTGATTGGTTTATATACTTTTCAGTGAGCTCAAGGACCAGAAGGGCCATGGAAAAGGTAAATGGAGCAGGTAAATGTAAAGGAAAATATAACTGCAAAAATGATATGAAAATGCAAGGTAAAAAAGAAAATGTAAATAGAGAAAGGAATTACTTTTTTAATTGTGTGTAGGAAAGGTATTTATAATCAGATTTCTGAGATTTGGTTTTTAAATCTCCATTTAGATTTTTGAACTGCATATTATAATATGGATTAATACATATAATTTACAATTAATCTTTAATGATTAAATTTACAAATTAGAACACACTTGTCAAATTGGATTTCTAAAATGATTTAAATGTTACATTAGAAATGACTGTTTTTCTCTTCAGTGACTCACTTGCTCCTCCGTACTAAAGTCTTGTAAAAACCAAACATCCAACAACTTATCAACACGTGAGAATTATTGATTACCTGCTGTACTATGAAGATAATTCGGTTGATTATTGCAAACGGTATACATAACGATTTTTTTTTTCTTTTAATAAAATGTATCTAAAACAAGATCTTTACATTGTTTTGTATTCTATTGGAAATTATTTTAACTTAACACTTTTAGAATACCTATATATATGGAGGGGTAGAATACGTACATCTAGACAGACAAACGGACCGACAGACAGACAGACGATAAATAAACAGACAGACACACAGATGATAGATAGATAATAGACAGACATACAGATGATAGATAGATGATAGACAGGCAGACATACAGACAGATAAAAGATAGACAGACAGACAGATGGACAGACAGATAGATCATAGATTGACAGACAGACAGACAGACAGACAGATGATAGATAGATGATAGACAGGCAGACATACAGACAGATAAAAGATAGACAGACAGACAGACAGACAGACAGATGATAGATAGACAGACAGACAGACAGATGATAGATAGATGATAGACAGATAGATCATAGATAGACAGACAGACAGACAGATGATAGATAGATGATAGACAGATAGATCATAGATTGACAGACAGACAGACAGACAGACAGACAGACAGACAGACAGACAGATGATAGATAGATGATAGACAGATAGATCATAGATAGACAGACAGACAGATCAGATAGATGATAGACAGACAGACAGATCATAGATGATTGATAGACAGATGATAGACATACAGACAGATGACAGACAGACAGACAGACAGACAGACAGACAGACAGACAGACAGACAGACAGACAGACAGACAGACAGACAGATAGATAGATAGATAGATAGATAGATAGATAGATAGATAGATAGATAGATAGATAGATAGATAGATAGATAGATAGATAAAAGTAGCAACATATGTATAAGTTCTGAGTTTTGAACGACTTTCTTATTGAGCGTTTTTTTTCCCAAAGTGAAAGTAAGGCGTTCCTCTCCATATGACCCGCCTTATTAATAAATGATCTGTAATCATTTCCTGTGTGCGTGTTTCTCCCATCATACCGACCTTCTATCAGCGGACATGCAGAGAGGTCCTTTCTGTCCTCTGGAAAGGACTCCAGCAGTCTCTTAAACAGCCGTCCCAGATCGGAATAACTGCGATGCAAATATAAAATGTTCCTATCGGACCACTCGGTCCGGATCTCGAAGAAGTCCTCTTCCTCTCCCCGCTGGCTGATGATGAGCCTCCGGATCCCGTTAACCCAGCAGTCCCGAACAAACATGTTGACCAAAGACGTCCCTTCAAACACCGCTGATGCCATCCCGCCCTTCAGGCCGGCATGCTGCTGCCAGGGGGGCCAACTGCAGACCGGGGTTCAGGGGCCACCGCTCTCATCTAGCGCTGCGGAGCAGAGGAGCGCAACTTAGGGAAGTTTTCAGTCTCTGACAGCTGCAGCAAGAGGAGGAGGAGAAGGAGGAGGGTTTGCAGACTGTCTCTGTTATCAAACGTGGCATGACTCTGGCTGGGGGAACTAAACTGACTTCAGATACAAAGATAACGCCCTAATGATAGTGTAAAGCTCACTACAACCAATTGAAATGGCTGATGAGAAGTAAATAGGCATGGTCATTTCAAAAGCAGGATTTAGACATTTAATGTCAGTTCTAATCAAAATCATGTCCTATCCAGAGCCGTAGCCACAATATTTTATAAGGGGGGGCAGGCAATAATGTACACTGAGGGGTGGCCGAAAGTAGATAGGTGTCAGAACCTCAGTGTCAATCTACACTGTTCTAACAGGAAAATTAACAGGCAAAACATCCATATTTTCTAAATAAAGACAAACTATACTTTCCTACAGCCTTTGCTAACACGTAGATGCATATATTTAAACATCAATGCTTTCAAAATAGAAGGTATAGTGGATAAAATTCTTTTAGTTTTGATTTCTGGGGCATAAATCTTTTCCATGGTCATTACTTACCTACTTGTATCAATAAAAATTATGCATGAAATTGATATTTACAAGGACTAATATCTACATAAATTGATTATTTGATATGTTTTTAATAAAATTATTATTTATCTTTGATTTCACTCCCGTCACAGTCTTGGTTCTGTTATGTTTTCTTTTAAGTTTTCAGTTTTACTTTGCTCCATGTTTTCTAGTTTTATTGATTTATTTCTTATTTTGTTGTGTTTTCTGGTTATATTTTAGGTTTTTTTTAGTTGCCGTCTGTCGCCCTCTAGAGTTCTCCTTTTTCCCTAGCTCCTTTCCAGTCTGCTATGTTCACACCTGCTCCCAATCTGCTCGTTAGTCCTTTCTTTGTTTCAGTCTCCCATAAATACACTCCTTGTTCAGTTCCTCAGTGCTGGTTCCCCGTCTAACTTCCTCCAACTCTGTCTCCCTGAGTCTTCCTCGTTGAGATTGTTTTTTCCCCTGATGTTTCCATGGACTCTGGTTTGTTGACTTTTTTTCATGTTTGACTTTTTTAATTTCTGGATTCCTGCGTCTGTTGTTTGTCAACAGTTCATCAAATCATCAAGAAACTCACCGATCCCATGAGTTTTAGTCATTTTTTTACTTTGATAGTCCATTCATTCTTGTAATCACATTAAGACATTTCATTTAGCTTTGTGCTGTGTCGATGTGCCTTTGAGCAAGGCTTATAAACTTGTATCACCTCCAAATCAAATGATTTGCTTATACCAAGTAATTGAATTAGGATTATGAAACCTATATTTTTTACAATGGTTTAACTTGGAATATTATAAACCAAATAAATTAAGTTGGAACAACTCAATTCAGTTCCTTGTGATCAACTGAAGCCATTAGTTTAAGTTTGAGCTGCATTCTCTTTTGTGAGTGTGGTAAAGTGGACTGAATGCTCTTGCACTAATAGGCGTTCCCTCTAGGGAGTAGATCCAGGGTTGTGCATGTGCATTTTTTTTAAGTGGAGATGGCGTGTATTTGTCAAAAAATCGTGAAAATTCTCCTCTATACCTTTAAGTAGCCAAGTTGGATTGTAGTACAGCACATTGCTGTGTGCAATAGAGGCGATGGAGTGTGAAGTGATTTTAATGTTTAAAAAGGTGAATATACATTTACCCATTTATATTTTTAATTTCTGTCTTTTATTTACTATAGATTGTTTTAAAATTGACTTTCAAATTAAAAAGTGTTAAATATGAGGGGGAAAAAACTGTTGATTTTGATATTTGTAGAGATAATCATGAAATCCAAACCCATACCTGCAAGGTTCTTGTTTGAACTGCTTCTGTTTACATCTATAGTTGTGAGAGTCTTTGTTTTGACTCAAGAAATCCCAATTATATACGATGGATGGATGAATGGATGGGGTTTGCAAACACAAAAATCTGTCATAAACCACGAAGGAGACTCAACAATTGGGCTTTAAGTAAAAGGTATAGACGAAAATCTTATTTCTGGGTAGATCAACAAAATAAGTGGTTCTCCAAAATTGTCTGGTGAGGTTTACGTAAACCGTCCTACATCCTCGTCCCATTAGCTGTCTTTTTCTGTGCATGCACACTTTCAGGTGTATATCTACGATTTGAGCCAATCATTGAAGCTCGCCTTTCACACTGCGGTTCACATATTTTTTTAACATGTTTGCTTGTTTTACATACATTTTCACTTACCGGTGGTGAGTCTGACATAGTGGAAAAATTGCAAATCTTCTTTGGAAAGTAGGCTATTATGAAAGATGCAAACAGCAACTTTTAAACAGAGCGTGCACAAGGAGAGGGCTCGTACATGCTCTCTCATGCGTTTAATAGGCGTTCCTTGGGAGCAGGTACATGGTTGTGTATGTGCATTTTTTTATTCTTTTTATGGAGAGGGCGGTTTGTTCTAAAAACTGGAGAAAATCCTCCCCTATACCTTTAAGAAACTAGTTTATCATAACTAAGTGCTCCAGACCACTAGTGGGAGACAATCAACAACAGTGATGGTTAGGGCCTTGCTACAAATTAATGTCAGTGAAAAATCATAAAGGGGAGGCCCACCCAGAGAACATTAAAGAAAAGGGAAAGTTTTAAACCCTTCTTAATCTTCCTAAGAATCCCTAATATGTCTCCAATAACGGTCTTGTCCGTTATGAGTGTGTGAACATTTCCCCCTAGTGGTCTGGAAAGCTTCTGCTATTTGGCACTATATATTTGGAGCTTTTCTTATCTTACACTTGCTTTTTGCTACTTGCAGCATTTTCCTTCTGCATGTGGTTTGTGTAAACTACTCTCAATTTGTTTGTGCTGTATTTTTTGAACTTGCTGCACATGTATGTATTTGCAGGGTATTTGCATCCACTTTAGTTTATAGTTAAATCAGTTCAAAACAAAATCATTGTTTTATCTAAGAATCATGATTCTGGACTTAAGATGAGTGGCCAAGACAGAAGTTAACTTTAAAAGCCAACTATATAAAAAAAAAAAAACTACAATTTAAAGTCACAATTTTAATGCATGTGGTAATGATTTTGACTATAAAGTTCTGTAATATAAAAATCAATCATCACTTTGTAGTATCCTGTGATTGTGAGTTTGAAAATCACACATATAAATGTTAGATTCAAAATGTTCCATATTGTGTGACAGTTTATTTCTTTGAAGAAAAAATCTGCCTTACAATAGAAATAAAGTCAAAAGGGGACAAAAAAAAAGTTCTTAGGAATCACTGATACAGGAGACTATCTGAATTATATTGTTGCTTCCACCCTCTTGTTTATAGTTCCCTGAGTTCAGAGAGTTTGAGCTCTCTGGATCCGCTGCCTATTTTCCTCCCACCCTCCTTCCTTCCTCCCTCCTTAACAACAGGGTATAATTATGCAAGGAATGCAAAGGTCTGCAAAGCCTGCACCATCCATTTGTTTTTGCCTTAGCAGGACAGTAGTATACTTTTCTTTTCCCCTTATCCCTGATCGGTTCTGCTAACTGCCTATTAGCGACCCTTCACTTGTTGCCTTTGCTCCAACTCCAAATAAAACCAGCAGCTCTAAATTACACGTTCTTTCCAGACAACCCGCGGACAGAGCTGTCAGAGGAGCCTGCTGAGGATTAGTTGGACCTCAAATGAACTCATAGTTGGATTTAAACCACCGTTGGGATTTGTTTGTGGTGATTCCCTCCAAATGTGACACTCAAGCACTGAAATCTTACAAAGAACACTGTGATCTAATCATTAAAAGAATTTATACGAGTTAGTGTCAATGTCAGCTTTATTTATGTAGTATTGGGATAAATTAACAGAGCTGATTCAAAGTGTTGATGCTCCACAAAAGAGAATGACATTCTTTAGAAAGCATAATCAATTGTGCAAACAAATAACAGTCTGTTGCCTTTCCTTCTTTTAACTCAAAGTCCCAGTCTAGTCTACTATTGCTGCTTTATTTGGACCAAATGTTTTCTGCCCTTCTACTTCTTAGCCTCATATGTGTGCAGCTGCACTAATACCCACTGACATCCTGAAGCCTTTCATAAAGGTACATGAGGGCTGGACTAAGAAAAAGTTTGATGAAAAATATCTTCTGGAATCTTAATGATCAGACTGTCCTTTTTCCAGGGACACACTCCATATATCTATCATAAATCTGATGTGTTAAATCTTTTTAGTGGCTATTTCCTAAATCACTGTAGCAGAAGTCTCAATGTGGAGAAGAAGCAGATCTACTTCAAACCCTAACCCTGTCTCTATAGGCTGAACCCAGCCACAATTTCAGTCGCTTGTATTTTTTTACCCTTAATTACCATAAATATGATAGCTAAGTAGAAAGATACAGATTAAATCAAGTTTTTTCTACAAAGTATAGGTTATTAACCAATAAAGGACTGACTAATGACCTCCTCACATCAACAAGTTGTTTGGACATTATAAGAAGAAGTAGAGAACATGGACTTTGAAACACCAGAACACGCAGGCCTCATCTTTGGCCCTCATCTGTTGCTAACAGGCCACCAGCAAACATTCTAGAAAAACACAACCCAAGACTCTAAGACAAGATGGTGTAATCATAGATTTGTCTTAAAGGAAAGCCTTCAGTATACAGTCAATCTCTGAAAATGTGTGTCTTAAGGGTAAAGAAATAAACAAAGACGTCACTACTCTTGACCTCATGAACATCAGCGTTGCTGGTAAACATAAATAGCTTTAGAACCAACCAAATGAGAGTGAGCAGGAGAAATGGTATAATTCTGAGGACAAGAGAAGGAAAATCATCTCAGAGAACTTAGAGATGCACCGATCCGATACCGATTAGCTGAATTTTGCTGCTTAATTGTTAATAAATAACTACTTTTATATCTGTGTTAATTTTGACTTTTTTTTAACAATGCTTATTTCAAGGCTTAAACCTTCTCTAACATGGCAAGATATATAGTTAATCCATTGACTAATTGGTCAGACCAGATACCAGTGTTGGGTCGGATCGGAAAAAAATGTATTGCTGAATCTCTAAGAGAAAGGTAAACTAGAATCAAGGCATATTTGAAAA